TACTATTTCATTTTGTGTGATATATCCAGTAAACAAGTAAATATAGAATGGGATTATTTCCACATCTTATATTTTCAATTCCTATAATTATTATTTAAACAAATTACTATTCTCTTACCCAATAAACACTTGGCATCGCTGTGTGTGGGATTTCTGAAACCACTTCCTAAAAGTAGAATGATTGAATTCGGGAGAGAAGTCCACAATTACGTAATCAAAAACATAAAATAGAATAAGACAATAAAATAACAATGAAATCATGCAAATAGTAAATTGCAACAATCAAAGATACTGACACCTATCTTTCCTTGTTATCTTCTTTTGATTTAACCAGTCTCAGCCATATTCAGAATAATTACTACCTTATTTGTAATATGCTTATGTATAGGTTAGGTGTGAAATTGACTAATAGTGTGCTTTAGATACCCTTAGAAGATGGAAATACATTGTGGTTATGCTGAGAATATGTGTTACACAGATGGTAAAAGTCGAATGTCTATAGCTTTCATCCACTCTTATTGGTTATACTTGAAGGCAATGGGGCAGGGAATTAGGATGATGAAGACAATTTCTATGAACGACCATGTTTATTTATCTTATTGAGTGATGTTAGCACTTTTCTCTTTTGTCTCGACTTCTAATTAGCACTACTACGTCCGTATTTATACACTATCGTTGCTGCCGCTACAGCTAGTGGATTGATAGTCGTTGTCGGAAACTACTCATAGACTCAAAGTACAACATTTATGTTTTGATAATAGTTCAGTTGCATGGTAAATACCTTCAAGGACAGCGAAATTATTGGTGTATGGTTACTCTTATCTGTGAAACCACCCTAATATGTTGTTTTCATCACCTCTATTCCTGGTCGATACAAATGCAATGTAGACTCAACACATTTGCGAAATAAAGTCTGTAGCCTACAAATATCGTCGTGGTCTTCGACAGTACGTCAAAATGCTGTGCCACTCAATACATCTGTACTCTGATGGCGGTTCATGACAGCGTCCACCTACCATGTAGTATGCCTTCACATGGCCAGCAAACATTACTTGTCATTTGATGTCTATGGAAAGGGTTCGATTTTGTTCAAGGATTGTAGACCAGAAGCTAAAGATCGAGGGGTGAAAGCATACTAGCATACAATTTTCATTATTTACGAAGACAAGACTTTGCTCCAAATCTTCGTAATGAAATCAAATAATTATTAATAATAATAGCTTTATTTCAAACAGTAATTTGGTACAAATATGGAATTTTCCGCAGGTATTATTAGTACAGTATTGCATCTACTTTTATCACTACAGGAGCAATAATTAAAATAGGGCATTTACATGAACAATATTGTTCAATAAGAAATGAATATCAAGTTAAATCAGGCGAAAATACTAACGACAGTGTAACTGTGAGAACAAAAGACATGGTCGTTTACTTCGATTTTCCCAGTAAATTGGTACGGTCTTCTGTCTCACACACACCTTTCTCATCACATAAAATGTCTGCCTGCTAAATAAGCTTTCACAGAGTTTTGTAGTTAGTCGTCCGAACATACAGTCATCTGTAGTGGCTCCTAGTTCTATCCAGTTGATGATGTGCATGGAAAGAGTTGTGTACGATCAGAATGTTCAGAATGTGACAGAGTAATATTTGCTAATTCCTTGCAGGAATCCGTGTCTACCTACAGTAGTATAGACGAGTTGGTTTAGCAACACCACACTCGCCCTACTGACGGCGTTTAGCACCCCACACAGTATAACAGAGTCTTTTTTAAGTAACCCGGGTAATATTAAGCTACGGAACGGTAAAGAAATATTGAGAGAATACACGAATTAATAAGCGGTATTAGTAGAGATGGAATGGTAACGGATATTCCTAACTTATTTACATAGAGCGCCAAATGAAATATCTTTCTGGAAAGTAACGTGATCCATGAAGACCAGGAAAGATCAGGGGAAATATTCATCTGAAGGTTTTTAACATTCCATTGGGTTTCAGCAGCGGTGCCATCTATGATAGTGGAACCGTGCGAACTAACCAGGTCATTTAAGTCGCACTTGCATCTGAAAGACTTCAGCAGCTTAATCTTTCTAGTTATTGTTTTTGGTAGTCATTCTTTTAGCTTCCAAGTGGAAGAGGGTTCCAGGACTGAACTGTGAATTTTCACTAGCAGCGATAGCTAGTCTCACAACCAGCTAAGAGAGATTAAGGAGTGCGTCAGTCAGGAATCGAAACCGGACCTGTGAGCTTAGCACCCTCATCCCGGTAAACTTAATGTTTTACCTCCCCTATTAAGTTAAAATATGTTAAACTCAACCAACTGGATGGTTTTCTAATATACTTATGAAAAACTAACAAGCTAGTTAAATATCAGAATTTTGTTAAATCATTTCATTTATAGCAAAATACCTAAACTCATTTAGTAGTTACTGGAAGAAAGCAAGGACTATGACTTGATATATATTTTGTTTCCACACTTCACAAAGTATATTCCTTGCAGAGATGTCCATGTTTCATTGTTCGTCTGCTCACCAGCCAATCAAGAGTTCCGGGTTCAACTTTCCGCAAAATCATGGCTAAAACTTATCTACTTTAATGGATGATAGTAAGCCCGGAAAACAGGGAAAACTGAACCTGCAAAATGGATAATCCCACCACAACAGACAACGCCACCATAACTGAAACTTGAAAGCCCGAAGTCCTATATTTCTTTCAGAAAGCAAACCGTAGAATCATCAACTGTATACTGAAATTATTTGCGATTAAAATTGACAGGGATACAAATTTGTTTGCTTCCATTTTGGATAGATAAAAACAATTCCTCACTCTCCTGAGGGGATACCGTTGTTTTCTTTCACCACAGTGTTTGCTTGTAAACAGTTTTAAGTACAGCTGAATTTATATAACATCTTGTCTAATCAGCCTCTTATTCGACAAAAGAACATCTTATCACATCTTGTCCTATTGATATAGTCTTATAAGTAGTTCAGTAAATTATACAAGTTTACCTATTCGAAAACTGTTTTAAATACCAAAAACTTCATTCACTTTATTTTCGATCAATAGACGGTTTCTTATCACGTTTCTTTTCTGTGATTTCTGCTACTTTTATAATTTTCTTCACATACATTAAGTGGACACTTAAATTTCCCTCTCTCATAAGTGAAGTATAATTTGAATATTTTCAAGTTTCAGCCATTTTTTACAACTTTCCGTCTGTTACAAGCTACTCTTTGATTTTATTTGTATCTACGATCTTATTAGAGTCAACAGGTATAATGATGTTACATAATTCTATCGCACTACAAAAGTCTGGTACATTACTATTGTATTATTATGTCCTTTGGTTCTTAGAGGAACATAGGGTTTCAGCCGCACGTTTCCATTGCGTTTGCTTCCCTACCAATGTTTCGCCTAGCTCTACGTCTGCCCACATGCTTTCATCTGTTCATTTGACATCATCCATGTCACCGCCACGGTGACGACCAAATTGCTGCTTTCTGTTCGGGTTCCACTCGAGTGATGGGCTATCTATTGGTGTCACTTTATTGTTTGTTTTCTCAGATTATAGCCAGTTCACCTCCATCTTTACCTGCATATTTGTTGCACAGTTGGTTCCTGATGGGTTGGTTCGCCCCAGAAATCCCTGTTGCTAATCTTTTGTGGCCAAGCCATCTGCTCTTGAGCGAAGACAGCTGTTGATGAAGGTCTGTAGTTTGTTCAAAGTTCCCTTCGTGACAAGCCATGTCTCTGATCTGTATACAATAGCACTGACTTCAAATTGGAGTTGAAAATCCGGTTCTTATCTTCATTTTCACGCTGAGCTCCACACAGACTTATGAAAGCTTACGTTGCTTTCCCGATCCTCGCTGTTTTGATATCCTCATTAGTTACATCCACCTGTAGTTGAAATGACGATGCTTCTCAGGTCTGTATGCAGAGGAGGCTGCTTCTTTCAGATTCCTTCCATTTATGCAGACTGATGTCTGTTGCTGTTGACGAGGAATCTTCATCGCCTACCTCTATTTTCTCCATGTTCACCTGGAGTAAGTCCTATCTTTGATGTTTCTTCTGTCAGCTTGTTGCTTCTGATTGGCATATCTTTCAGTTTGTGGGAGGTCAGACACATATCATTGGCGAAGTCCAGATCCTCCAATTTTTTCTTGTGGGTCCATTTTATGCCTGTCTCCATGTTGTCAGCTCTCTGTCTGTTGCACTATCCAGTAAACCGCAATCAGTGAAATCATCGGAGATAGTGGGCAGCCAGCCAGCTTGTCTTATTCCCGTCTTCACTTCGAAGGATTCCGTGAGTTTCCGGTTGTGGACTACTTGGCATACAGCATTATCGTACAATTGTCGGATGAGGTGCATAATAGTTGCATAATTCTACTGTATATGTGAATACATTTACATAGCTTTAAATATAGCATTATAATAAGACAACCGGCTATAAGAATCAGTTGTAGCTAATGTACTTTAGTTACTTTTCATAGTTCTTATATTAGTAAGTAATATACAATTAGTGTAACCATATACTACCGATTAATTGATTGATTGACTGATTGATTACGATGGGTGGTTGTTAGTCACTGACATCAGCCAGTGATGATTGCTAGCTAACTAGACTGAGGTGGTGAGAATACCGGAGGGCTGCTTCGCTCGTTTTAGAACGGAGAACATCTGTTATCTCCCATGGTTTGCTCAGCTCAAACGGCTGAATCAGTTCAAACCACCCAAGTCATACCGTGTAAAACACTGATGTGCTCAACCTTAGATGATCAGGACGGCCGTCCTGTGTTCAGACCACCTCTAGGATCTGTCTCGGAGGTACTACTAGCTGGTGTGAGTAGTATACAACTATTCGTATTAATCGATTAGGATTATATAGCATCATACACCTTGAATCTGTTAAAGACTATGTTATTGAAGCGATTAAGTATTCAATATATATGAACACTTCTGACTCTTCAGCTTTCTTATTATTATTATTATTCCTTACTTAGATCAATTTTCCACGTTATTTGGGTAAACTGACGTCATGGAATCATGTCAATGTGATGCCAAGAGATATGCAAGTATGGGTTACAAATGTCGACTATTATGAAGAATTAGGTCATATTTTACAGCAAACATCATTCAGGTTAGTAACTATAAATGACTTTTTGTTTAAAATTTTTTTATTAATTTACAAGTTTCACTTTGTAGGGATTTGACTGATTTCAGTTAGGCAAATATCAAAAACCAGAAGAAGGGTATTGGACGGGCATTTTTCTCCTAGTGTAGGACTATCAAGTAGTGCGCATTCACCACCCTACGAGAGATCAAACACAGGAACTTCAGGTTAATTTTCACTTTAATTTTTCAGGTGCTGTTTTGCTATAGCAAAATAACAAGGTTAACTCATCTATGCTATGGTAGGTTTTAGTGCTTCAAGACATATCGGATGGCAGACTGTTCAAATTATTAGGATACTTATTTCTACATCTAACACAGTGTATCAAATCTGTTCCAGATGCCCAGTACCCCTCATTTTGAATAGTTCCTAAGTGAAATCACTTCGTAATCCCTCCCGAAACCACTCAAATCTTTTCGAATCAACACCTGAAATCTGATATATTGCTCACTGGTGACTGACTACAGGGTGAAGTTGCCTGAATTTCACATGAAAAGTCATGACCATCAGAGCCCACCAAGTTGTACGTGACGGCGAACATTCGCCAATGATAATGACTGGTGGCTGTAATATATACATCACAAATTCGTAGAAGTTAGAACTGATGCGTCATTGGGTTTCGACCCAGTGGCTGAACGGTCAACCAGGTCGCGTCGTGACCTGAAAACCTTATATTCAATCCCCGATGGAGTCATGGATGCATAATTCTGATGAGACCCAGATAAGGATTAAACGGCTTCCCATTACTGTCTGCAAATCTAACTGAAGTCAGTTCGTAATCCATCCCCGCTGAAACTACTTCATACTGTTTTGACCACCTAACTACGTCATTCAGCCGAGATATTTACTTATGCCCCATTTTGAAATAGGTAACAATCTACTGTTATGCGAGGTTTTTCAAAGGGAGTGGAGAAAAATATTGGAGAGGCCGATTGGAGTACGCTTCAGATAGAACATTGTTACTAAAAATAATATGTTGTTAATTATTATATTACTGGAAGATTCTCAACAAAGGTTAAATATTTTGGACTAAGACACTGAAAACTCTGAATTGTATGTAAGTGCACTGTTCAGAATAAAGCTGTTATTAATAATAATACTACTTAAATAAAAGTTAGTAAGGGAATTAGTAAAATGAGTAGGCTTACATGCATGTAATTCTTATTATCAGGTTTATACAAGCGTTGATCCAAAACGCAAATCAAATCAAGTAGCTAGGCAGAAATAGGTTGGTTTGAAGTGATTGGGCTGTCTTAGCTCAGTCAGACTGCGTACACCTCAGGTTAGCTCTGTGACAAATGAGTAAAGTAGTTATTCGGCGTTCTCAGCTATTTTTTCACCCTATGTGGAAAAAGAACTTATCACACCGACTAGCAAATAAGAAAAATGTTTTTTACCTTTCTAATTGCGCATTATATTGAACTGCCTTTCACTTCTGGGGGAGAGGGACGATGTATGATTTTCCAACGGTTCTCTAACCACTGCCAGCTCATGATGAAATGCTGTGTCCAATCAATTAGATCTCTGCAAACCAATACCTGAAAATCAATGAGATGCTCACTAGCGACTGGCTCTATCCAGGTAGGCAGTCACCTGGCGTTTCAGAAGGAAGTGGTGACCAGCAGAGTCCGACAGGCCGAATGTGAGGACAAATACCCACCACCGATGACGTTGGCTAGTTCCAGTCGTGCTATATGATGAAATGGCAAAAGTTGGAATTGATGAACTGGCCATTAGATTGGGTCCCAGTGGCTTAATGGTCTACCAGCTAGCCTGCCTTGTAACTAGGAGGTTCTGGGTTCGGACCCTAATGATGGGTGCTTGTCGATGAAGAGTACCAAACTATGCTGACAAAACAGTCGCTCAGTACTCCCTGGTGGTTTTGCAATGATTCTCTAACTGATGTCAACTCACGATGATATGCTGTAACCAATCAATCAAATCCCTATATACCAATACTTCAAAAGTTGATTTCATAGCGATGCCATCCAAGCAGAAATTGCTGATACTTTTTCCACAGGAAAATGTCTCAGATGTGTAGTACACTTATTGACTGACAAGAACACAGACAGAAACAACAATAGTTATAGACGCTCAATCACCCTTAGTTAATTTGATTTGAAATTTTGCTGTCATTGTAAATTACTAGAGTTTTAGAACACTATCGATTTCTGTAAGTATAACTAACAAACCAAAATATTGAGTTCAGAATTTCATCATGAACTGACATCATTTAGAGAATCATTGGAAAGCCTGGGAGTACTGAACAGCTGTTTCGTCCTAGTTTCCGATCCTTCAGCAGCACGCACTCACCACCAGAGTTCCAACCCAGGATCTTATGGTTACAAGGCGAGAGCGTAAACCACTAAGTATCTGGGACGTGATCCGATGGGCCATTAATTACAAGTCATGCCAATTGATTTTATGGCGCTACCACTAGCGACCTCACTTAGCCGGTAATGAGTGACAATAAAACAGGAAGCTAGCGATCTCAACCTCTATAAAACAATCAGCGCCGCTGAAGCCTTACCTCCTACGTTTTAAGCTTGATTTTTCCGGGAATGTTTTCAGTTACAGGACTATTGGGAAACTTGAGGGTACTGCACAGCTGTTCCGTTGTATTTTAAAACTATTTATCAGTGCACACTCAACACTGTTTTCAAACCTAGAATCTCGTGAACCATTTGGTCACTGGTACTCTATCCACTGGCTGATGAATTCTTGTACCTGCCAATTCGCGATACACACGGCAAACTTACTAGAATTGGTGGACCTCTAAGGTCACGATTTCACTCTAGAATTCCAGGCAACTTCTTGTATAAAGCAAGTTATAAACAGTCGACTTCTAGGGATTGATTTCGTCACAGGCTTGATCACAAGGTTTCATCGCTCTGATAAACACTAAAAAAAAACTCGAAACGCAAACTGGAATGAAAATTTCATCTACAGACCACATGAGAGCATACTTAAGATGTTTGCTGACCAATGGAAAGGAGACTGTCGTGAATTTTCACGTTGAGTTGTGTAAATTTCAAACTGAGAAATTAATTTATCTGTGATCTATTTAAGTCTAACTTTATCAGATTTAAACAGTAGCTTGATTTGTCTCGTAGTTATTCTTTTCCTTCTTTTCATTCATTCTTTTTTTCATTCCGAACTGGACACAGAGCTTCAAGCTATAGCTATGAAGTTTCGGTAGCATTTGTGTTGTTCCATCAGGTTATAGCTGGCGGCTTCACACCCAAGCTTCCTTCTTAATGTCACTTACTGTCGGTTATTTGAGGCTCGAGGGTCCGTCAGGTGGGAACCGAACGCCACAACATGTGCTCGGCTGGTGAACATCCTACCCCTGGACCATCAAATCATACCTCATAGCTCAGACTTTATTTATAGCTGATATTTTTGAATAGAACTATTCAGGGTAATGATGAGAGTTTCTTCTTATGATTATTGTTCTCTCTTTCTCTTATTAACTAGTGAATTACAAGACTATATCACCTTTGCAATACTTCACAAATATGGTGGATTTGTTGACCAACAAATAGCACAACTGAAGAGGAAACTTCTTAAACCATACGCAGGTATGTCTGTCTTTAACCAATATACTATACCTTTGTTAGTGATCCCCTACCATCTGGTGAATCGAACATGTAAAATTAATCCTTCATTTGACTGCTAAAAATATGACAATATACAAACTATTTATATCATTTTTAATGAAACTAAGTATTATAGTAAGGTTTAAGAGTTACTTGATACTATTATAATAAAGGTTTTTGTATTTCCCAATAAATGTAAAACAAAACGATATTGTTTTTACTGACGTTTCGCTATTTAATGCAAATAGCTTTATCAAAGTATTATATATTATTACATATTACTTGATACCAAGCCATAATATCATGGCACTTAAAGATATTACTATTCTTATTCCCTTGGGTTCCTGGTAGAACATAAGGGTTCAGCGGAACATCTGAATTTCATCCTTAAGCTGGCTCCGTGATTGCATACAAGCTCTTGCCTCTTCTTTAGGCGAATTCTTTCTTTCATGTAACCCTCAGACCAATGCCCAGCTAGTCGTTTTCCATTCAGGTTGTATTGGAGGGTGTGGTCGGCATTCAATGTCACTCGTAAATCGCCTCTGCATGCATCTGGTCCGTCTCCATTAGCTTTAGAATGATTGTTGAGTAAAAGATGTTTGACTGGTTTACCTATAGAGTTTCTTATTGCTTAATTCTCCTGATGATCTGATCTTCACTATGGAGCGAGCAAAGTTAGCTGTTCATAAAACTATGCAGTGACCCAATGGAAATGTTTCTGGTAACGCGCCACGTCTCTGTCTGTCTGTATGTCTGTCTGTCTGTCTGTCTGTCTGTCTGTCTGTCTGTTTTCGACATAGAACTTTGCACAAATGTGCGGAAGTTCAAGTCGCCACAATCCGTGTAGCACGCGAAGCAAGAGAAGAAAGTACAAGAAAAGCATAATAGAGACAGTGAGCAGAGGTGTGAGACAAAGGAGTAATAACGAAGAACAAAACAGTTTCATTGGAGATCATAAGTCACAAGGAGTGGATGCATCTGCGCCACTGAGAACGATTTTGAGCCATGTCACCAATTGTTTCCAACCATAGATTTTTACCGTCCCGAGGACCCCAGCCTGGAAGTCTACACCTTCCTACGTGGCTTAGACCAACTGTTGTGGATTTCATTGACTGGTGCCAAGTTTTTGTTTGACCGCCGCTAGCTTTTTTCCAGCCTGACCCTATATCCGCTAACATTGCTCGTCGAGGGAGGCGATGACTTGGCATACGTAACACATGTCCTAACCATCTCAGTCTTTGTAGCTTCACGACTTCGTCGATTGATTTCCCCTGTTTACCTAGAACTCTACGCCTAACCTCCATGTTGCTCACCTTATTATGCCACTTTACACGGGAAATAGAACGCAGGCACCTATGATCAAAGACAGCTAGTCTTTTCATGTCTTCCACTCTCAGTGGCCAGGTCTCACAACCATAAAGGAGGACGGAGCGGACTGATGAGCAGTACACCCGCCCTTTGGTCGATAGTCGAACATCTCGTCTACGCCAGAGTCGGCGTAAACTAACAAATGCGAAACGAGCCCCTTGTATTCGTGCTGAGATTTCGTCAGAGATCAGCCCGTTGGGGCTGATGGTACTTCCCAAATAAGTGAAGCGGTCAACGTGCTCTACCACTTCACTTCCTATTTTTAAACTAGGCGTCGATGTAGTCCAGTCCTGTAACATCATCTTGCATTTGGCGGGAGCGAATCGCATGCCAAACATTCGTAGATTGCGGCTCAAGGTGTTTAGAAGACTCTGCATTTCGTCAGCGTCTTCGCCTAGAAGGACTATATCGTCTGCATATTCCAAGTCAACGAGATTATTCCCCGGTAGCAAGTCAATCCCTGAGTCGCTGAAGTCACCTAGGGTTAAGTCCATTAACACATCTATGATGAAGTTGAATAGAAAAGGAGATAATGGGCATCCTTGACGGACACCACTGGTCGTCATCAGTTCAGATGACAGCTCGCCGTAAGCCCTCACCTGGCTGTATGAGTACGAGTAGAGTGCCTTAATCAGTGCAATATATTTTCTCGGAATTCCCTTTACAGCCAAGCATCTCCAGAGAACTTCCCGATCGACAGAGTCGAATGCTGCCTTTAGGTCAAGAAATATAATGACTGTTGGACGCCGGTAGGAATGCCTATGTTCTAGAATCTGTCGGAGGGTGAAGATATGATCAATACACCCTCTTCCTGGTCTAAAGCCTGCCTGGCTCTCTCGTGTTTGTGCTTCCCGAGCACCACTCAGTCTACGCATGATTATTGAGCCTAAGACTTTAGATACTATATTAGTCAAGCTAATCCCTCTGTGATTATCACAGGAAGACTTGTCTCCCTTCTTGTATATGGGGATAATCAGTGACTTACACCAACCCGATGGGACTTCTTCTGATTCCCAGACGCTGCCTAGTACCTCAGTTAATCCGGACAGTAAGCTGTCTCCACCGTACTTAAATACCTCTGGAGTCATTCCATCAGGTCCCGCTGCTTTGCCTAGTTTCAGATTGGTGACAGCTTTAGTAACCTCAGTTAGTGACGGAGGACCTGTGTCTATATCCCATTCAGGGAGGTGTTGGATGCTCGGAAGGTTGAGCGTGGCTGTGGGCAAATTAAACTGCTCCTCATAATGCTCTTTCCAACGATCCAGTCGTCTATCCTGGGAGCTAATTATAGTGCCATTTTTTTCCGAGATTGTCTCACTAATGATTTGTCTTCTCCCACCCGTTTCCCTGATGAGTCCAAAGAGTTGCCTGGTGTTGCCTATCCTCGAAGCTTTCTCCATCTCTTTGGCTTTTGTCGCCCACCACTGTTCACGGTCCTTGCGGAGACTTTTCGTAAGTTTCCTCTTGTGCAGCTTTCGCTCCTCATTGAATTCGGAGCTCGCCGGAATAAGTCTTCTAGCATCTATCAGTTCGGATGAGGCGGTGGAGATCCAGTGGTTTTTACTCACCTTTGGGTTTACCTTATTCACAGCTTTTACAGCTGTATCTATGGCTGCCTGGATATTTTTCCAAGCTTCTTCAGGGTGAGCACAGCTGTCGAACACAGATATGTGTTTAGCTAGTTCTTCCTCAAATACGGATTTAGTTTCCTGATCGAGCTGGGGACGTGATGGTTTTACCGCCAGCTGTTTCCTACGTCCGTTCAGTCGTAAGCACACCCGAGCGCGGACCAGTGCATGGTCGGTATCTACGCACGTGTTCCAGAAGGAGCGACAATCTCCTACCGACCCACGCCAACGATAGCTTATTGCTATGTGGTCTATTTGTGTCCAGCGTTGGTTTGATGAAGGGGGTCTCCAAGTCAAACAGTGTCTCTCCTTGTGTTTAAAGTTAGTGCTTACAAGAAACAAATGATTATCAGAGCAGAACTGTAGGAGACGGTCACCGTTGTCGGTTCGCTGGCACGGAACTCCATAGGTGCCACCGACATCCTTCTCAGATTGACACAATTTCCCTACTTGAGCGTTAAAGTCACCAGCTAGAACGACTATGTCTGAGCGTTTAGCCTTTCCACCAAACTAGACAGCTTTTGGTAGAACTCATCCTTCGTTTCATCTGAACTGCAGTCAGTGGGGGCGTAGGCGGAGATTACGAAAAGGCATCGGCGAGTAGTGCAGTCCTTCCTCCTTCTTACTGATCCGTTCAGGCGGACAGCACACATTCGGCTATCTACCGGGATCCAGTCAAGCAATGTCTTTTCTGCCCTAGTACTCAAAGCTATCCCTACGCCAGCTAATCCTCGTGAACTAGCTGTGGCATCTCCTGACACCCTCAAGGTGAATTTTGCAGATTCAACCTGTTGGCCAGGTGGGGTTAGGTGAATAACCACACTTGGGTCTTGTATGCGTGTTTCTGAAACACAGCATACATCAATGGCTCGTGATGCCAGGGTCTTGGCTAGTGATGCTTGTTGTCCTATTTGGCAAAGTGTCCTAACATTAAGAGCTCCTATATGAAATTGGTGGCGCGGCTTTAAGAGGCTGTCGGTGGTGGTTTTTTGGCTTCCATCGTTTTTAGTGGACGCAGAGTGGAGAGGAAGTGGAGAGCTATCAAGTCGAGGAGTTGCATCAGTGGAAGGAAGGCAAGATGATAGAGATGAAGATGAAGACAAAGATGAGTGAGTAATAGAGAGGTTTCGTGTGCATTTCGGATTGTGAGGGCGATTGTTACTTCCCGGCTGCCCACACCGTGGAAGTTGGTTGCGTGACCGCAGAGCCCAGGGGACAACTGCTTGAGGCCGGTCACACGCGGCCTGTTTTTGTTTGTTCTTTTTGTTTGGTGTGTCTCAGTAGCATATTTATCACTCCTGCCCTGTGACACGGCAGCAGGAAGCGCGGTCGTTGTTAATCCGGGCCACGGCCGATCCGGCATGAAATTTTGTGATTTTGTTTGTATCATGATGTTGGATTGGGTAGCTGCTTTTTGTTTAACCGCTATCCAAACAACCTGCCTGGCATGGTAGACCTCAAGAGACATAAGTCTCAGCCAGTATAGCTTGAATAGGTCATTGCGGTGTTCAAGCCCGACCACCACATCAAGGTAGCAGCTTTCGGTCGGCCACATTTCTGAGCTATACAGAAGCCCAGACTTGTCACTCGTGTTGAAGATCCTGACCTAGTTCCTTATGCTAAATACAAAAGATTTCCAGCCTGACTTAAGATTATTGAATTTCTATCCTGAATTTCTGGCCCTGCCTTTGATATCCTCATCTACTACGCCTTATTACTTTTAGATAAGTCAATTACGCATTGTGTTAAAATCCTCTAGATAGTGGAGTGGAACCACTGACAAAGATTTAACTGTGAAGAACAAACATTTCTTCACTTGATTCGTTGTCGTCGTTTTCAGTTGGTCACAGATTAATCAAGTTACTTACATACATAACTGCAGCATCAGGTGGCACTGGTTCAAATCTAAAAGAGGATATGAGTTCTTTCAAGAGTACATATACGCCCTGTTAACGACTGCCAAGAAGCACATAAACTAGGCCCAAG